TACATGCCAGATCATGAATTAGTAACTGCATCCAATCTCCAAAAAAAACCAATTTTTTATTTTTGTAATGGAATATTTACGGAATCCCCATGAATAGGATAAAACCTTATTCCATGGTATTTACATGAGATTGCTCTTTCTTATTCTTAAGCAAGTCCCCGAGAGGGCTTAGTTGATCCATGATTTATGTTTCGTCTTTTCTTTCCTTTTCGTTTGTTTCGAGAAAGAGATCGATCAATTCCGATTTTTTAATTTTTCTATTGATTCTTTTCGGATCGAGATGTATGGATCCATGGATCTATGTGTCTATATAGATCCTGTTCATCGATTAACGAAAATGTGCAAACGCTCTATTTGCCTCTGCCATTCTATGAGTCTTTTCATTTTTGCGTATGGCATCGCCACTCCCTTTGGCAGCATCCACTAATTCGGAACTTAATTTGAAAGCCATATTTCGACCCGGACGTTTTCGGGATGCCCCTAATAACCAACGAATGGCAAGTGCTTTTCCTTGCGTGGATCCTATTTCAATGGGAACTTGATGAGTTGATCCGCCTATACGTCTTGATTTTACTGCTATATCGGGAGTTACTCCACGTATTGCTTGACGTAAAACAGATAGTGGATTTGTTTCTGTCTTTTGTTGAATCTTTTTCAAGGCTCGATAGATAATTTGATAAGCCAATGATTTTTTTCCGTGTTTCAGAATACGGTTAACCAACATGTTAACTAATCGATTACGATAAATTGGATCGGATTTTGCAGTTTTTACTTCTGCAGTACCTCGACGTGACATGAGCGTGAAAGGGGTTCAAGAATCTGTTTTCTTTTTATAAGGGCTCAAATCTTTTATTTTGGCTTTTTGACCCCATATTGTAGGGTGGATCTCGAAAGATATGAAAGATCTCCCTCCAAACCATACATACGACTTTCATCGAATACGGCTTTCCACAGAATTCTATATGTATCTATGAAATCGAGTATGGAATTCTGTTTACTCACTTTTAAATTGAGTATCTATTTCCCTCCTTTTCCTGCTAGGATTAGAAATCCTGTATTTTACATATCCATACGATTGAGTCCTTGGGTTTCCGAAATAGTGAAAAAATAAGTGCTTCGAATCATTGCTATTTGACCCGGACCTGTTCTAAAAAAGTCGAGGCATTTCGAATTGTTTGTTGACATGGACAAAGTCAGGGAAAACCTCTGAAATTATTTCAATATTGAACCTTGGACATATAAGAGTTCCGAATCGAATCTCTTTTGAAAGAAGATCTTTTGTCTCATGGTAGCCTGCTCCAGTCCCCTTACGAAACTTTCGTTATTGGGTTAGCCATACACTTCACATGTTTCTAGCGATTCACATGGCATCATCAAATGATACAAGTCTTGGATAAGAATCTACAACGCACTAGAACGCCCTTGTTGACGATCCTTTACTCCGACAGCATCTAGGGTTCCTCGAACAATGTGATATCTCACACCGGGTAAATCCTTAACCCTTCCCCCTCTTACTAAGACTACAGAATGTTCTTGTAAATTATGGCCAATACCAGGTATATTTCGAGAGAGATACTATTTCACCTTCGTCAATCGAGTCACAGGTATCTAACATATTCATATCTAATGGTTTTCCACAAAGTGGTGACGAAAGGTATAACTTGTACAAATCTTTCCATTTTCCAATTCGATCCGATCCATTAGTTCGTAGAGCTATTTACTCGATTGCAGACATTTCTGGAACACCTCTAATAGAGGGACAAAGAGTCAATTTTGAAAGAACGTATTGTCAAACTCTTTCAGATATGAATCTATCCGATTCAGAAGAGAAGAGCTTGCATCAGTATCTCAATTTCAATTCAAACATGGGTTTGATTCACACTCCATGTTCTGAGAAATATTTACAGAGGAAAAAACGGAGTCTTTGCCTAAAAAAATGCGTTGACAAAGGGCAGATGGATAGAACCTTTCAACGAGATAGTGCTTTTTCAACTCTCTCAAAATGGAATCTATTCCAAACATATATGCCATGGTTCTTTAGTTCGACAGGGTACAAATATATAAATTTGATATTTTTAGATACTTTTTCAGACCTATTGCGGATACTAAGTAGCAGTAAAAAATTTGTATCCATTTTTCATGATATTATGCATGGATTAGATATATCATGGCGAATTCTTCAGAAAAAATTGTGTCTTCCACAAAGAAATCTGATAAGTGAGATTTCTAGTAAGTCTTTACATAATCTTCTTCTGTCCGAAGAAATGATTCATCGAAATAATGAGTCATCATTGATATCGACACATCTGAGATCGCCAAATGTTCGTGAGGTCCTCTATTCAACCCTTTTCCTTCTTCTTGTTGCTGGATATATCGTTCGTACACATCTTTTCTTTGTTTCCCGAGCCTATAGTGAGTTACAAACAGAGTTCGAAAAGATCAAATCTTTGATGATTCCATCATACACGATTGAGTTGCGAAAACTTCTGGATAGGTATCCTACATCTGAACTGAATTCTTTCTGGTTAAAGAATCTTTTTCTAGTTGCTCTGGAACAATTAGGAGATTGTTTAGAAGAAATACGGGGTTCTGGCGTCAACATGCTATGGGGTGGTGATCCCGCTTATGGGGTCAAATCAATACGTTCTAAGAAGAAAGGTTTGAAAATAAATTTCATCGATATCATCGATCTCATAAGTATCATACCAAATCCCATCAATCGAATCACTTTTTCGAGAAATACGAGACATCTAAGTCATACAAGTAAAGAGATCTATTCATTGATAAGAAAAAGAAAAAACGTGAGCGATGATTGGATTGATGATAAAATAGAATCCTGGGTCGCGAACAGTGATTCGATTGATGATAAAGAAAGAGAATTCTTGGTTCAGTTCTCCACCTTAAGGGCAGAAAAAAAGGATTGATCAAATTCTATTGAGTCTAACTCATAGTGATCATTTATCAAAGAATGACTCTGGTTATCAAATGATTGAACAACCGGGAACAATTTACTTACCATACTTAGTTAACATTCATAAAAAGTATCTAATGAATTATGAGTTCAATACATCCTGTTTAGCAGAAAGACGGATATTCCTTGCTCATTATCAGACAATCACTTATTCACAAACTTCGTGTGGGGCTAATAGTTTTCAATTCCCGTCTCATGGAAAACCCTTTTCGCTACGCTTAGCCCTATCCCCCTCTAGGAGTATTTTAGTGATAGGTTCTATAGGAACCGGACGATCCTATTTGGTCAAATACCTAGCGACAAACTCCTATGTTCCTTTCATTACAGTATTTCTGAACAAGTTCCTGGATAATAAGCCGAAAGCTTTTTAATTGATGATATCGATATTGATGATAGTGACGATATTGATGCTAGTAACGATATTGATCGTGAACTTGATACGGAGCTGGAGCTTCTAACTATGATGAATGCGCTAACTATGGATATGATGTCGGAAATAGACCGATTTTATATCACCCTTCAATTCGAATTAGCAAAAGCAATGTCTCCTTGCATAACATGGATTCCAAACATTCATGATCTTGATGTGAATGAGTCGAATTACTTAGCCCTCGGTCTATTGGTGAACTCTCTCTCTCCAGGGATTGTGAAAGATGTTCCACTAGAACTATTCTTGTTATTGCTTCGACTCATATTCCCCAAAAAGTGGATCCCGCTCTAATAGCCCCGAATAAATTAAATACATGCATTAAAATAAGAAGGCTTCTTATTCCACAACAACGAAAGCACTTTTTCACTCTTTCCTATACTAGAGGATTTCACTTGGAAAAGAAAATGTTCCATACTAATGGATTCGAGTCCATAACCATGGGTTCCAGTGCACGAGATCTTGTAGCACTTACCAATGAGGCCCTATCAATTAGTATTACACAGAAGAAATCAATTATAGACACTAATACAATTAGATCTGCTCTTCATAGACAAACTTGGGATTTGCGATCCCAGGTAAGATCGGTTCAGGATCATGGGATCATTTTCTATCAGATAGGAAGGGCTGTTGCACAAAATGTACTTATAAGTAATTGCCCCATAGATCCTATATCTATCTATATGAAGAAGAAATCATGTAACGAAGGGGATTCTTATTTGTACAAATGGTACTTCGAACTTGGAACGAGCATGAAGAAATTCACGATACTTTTTTATCTTTTGAGTTGTTCTGCCGGATCGGTCGCTCAAGACCTTTGGTCTCTACCCGGACCCGATGAAAAAAATAGGATCACTTCTTATGGATTCATTGAGAATGATTCGGATCTATTTCATGGCCTATTAGAAGTGCAAGGCGCTTTGGTGGGATCCTCACGGACATAAAAAGATTGCAGTCAGTTTGATAATGATCGAGTGACATAGCTTTTTCGCTCCGAACCAAAGGATCCCTTATATATGATGCAAGATGGATCTTGTTCTATCGTTGATCAGAGATTTCTCTATTAAAAATATGAATCGGAGTTTGAAGAAGGGGAAGGAGAAGGAGTCCTCGACCCGCAACAGATAGAGGAGGATTTATTCAATCACATAGTTTGGGCTCCTAGAATATGGCGCCCTCGGGGCTTTCTATTTGATTGTATCGAAAGGCCAAAAAATATTTCCGCCTTGTAACGTTGTATTAATACCAGTATTCATATTAATCGGGTAACGTTGCCAGAAATATGAATCATTTTTAACTGCTAATGCCAGCCTGATTATCCGCCTCAATGATACTGGCATTTAACGACGTGGTGGAAAAATATTTTGAAGATACAATATCACTGAACCTATATAAAAAATAATATAGGAGGATCTTGGATAAACAAAATTCATGGTATACTTCTGAAGATTAATTATCGCAATTTTGAGCAAACAATCAAAAAATTTAATAGAAAACCTTTGTCGATAGATAAAGAACTTTTTTTTTTTTCAGAACCCCAAGAAGAAAAGATTTATTCAGAATATTCAGAAGAAGAAATAAAAATTTTCAAATTTTTATTTGATGTCGTTATAACTGATAACAATAATCAAGATCAAACTCTTATAAATTTTTTTATTAATTTCCATGAAATAAATAAAAAAGTTCCTTGATGGTCGTACAAATTAACAAGTGAGTTGGAAGAATTGGAAGGCGAAGCTGAAGAAAATGTACCGACAGAGCCTGGACTTCGTTCAAGAAAAGCAAAACGTGTAGTGGTTTTTACTGATAAAGAGCCGCATAACGAGATTTATACTAATCTCAAAGATAATCAAAATTCTGATCAAAACGATGAAATGGCTTTGATCCGGTATTCACAACAATCTCATTTTCGTCGAGAGATAATTAAAGGATCCATGCGTTCCCAAAGGCGTAAAACTGTTATTTGGGAATTTTTTCAAGCAAAAATACATTCCCCCCTTTTTTTGATAGAATAGATAAACTTTTTTTTTTTTCGTTTGATATATGGGAGCTAAAAAAAAAATTTCTTAGAAATTTCATGCGAAAAAAAAATTTTTTTTGATAAAAATGAAGAAGAACAATCAAAAATAGAAGAAAACAGACGGATAGAAATTGCAGAAACTTGGGATAGCTTCCTATTTGCTCAAATAATAAGAGGTTCTCTCTTAGTAACTCAATCTATTCTTAGAAAATATATTATATTACTTTTATTGATAATAGTTAAAAATAGCATACGTATGTTATTATTTCAATTTCCCGAGTGGGCTGAGGATTTAAAGGATTGGAAACGTGAAATGCATGTTAAATGTACTTATAATGGGGGTTCAACTATCCGAAACAGAATTTCCAAGAAACTGGTTAACGGATGGTATTCAGATAAAAATACTATTTCCTTTTTATCTTAAACCTTGGCATAAATCTAAATTTCAATCATCTCAGAAGGCTAAACTAAAAAAAACAAAAGACAAAGGAGAAAAAAATGACTTTTGTTTTTTAACAGTTTGTGGACTGGAAACTGAAATACCGTTTGGTTCTACCAAAAAAAGCCTTCTTTTTTTAAACCTATTTTTAAAGAATTAAAAAAAAGAATCAAAAAATTAAAAACTAAGTCTTTTCTGGTTTTTATTTTCAAAGAAAGAGCGACAATTTTTCTAAAAGTCTCAAAAGGAATTAAAAACTGGATTATCAAAAACGTGTTTTTTTCTAAAAGGAAAAAAAAAAAACCTTTCAAAACCAAATCTAATTCCATTATTTGGCCTTAGAGAAATATCTGAATTAAATGAAACTAAAAAAGATTCAATAATGAGTAATCAGATGATTCATGAACTATCTGTTCAAAAAAAATACATGGAGTGGACAAATTCTTCACTCAGCGAAAAAAAAAAAAAAATTTTGATTGATAGAATAAAGACAATTAGAAATCAAACAGAAGAAATTTCAAAAGAAAAAGAAAACCAAACTACTAGAACTACTAGTTGTAACAAACCGCGTTATGATTCTAAAAGAATGGAGTCATCAAAAAAAAGTTGGCAGGCATTCAAAAGAAAAAATACCCGATTAATTCGTAAATCTTTTTTTTTTTTAAATTTTGCATTGAACAACTGTCTATAACTATTTTTCTAGGTATCATTAATATTCCAAGAATTACTACACAACTTTTTTTTGAATCAACAAAAACAATTCTTGATAAATATATTTACAAGAATGAAGAAAATGGAGCAAAAATTAATTAAAAAAAAAATACCATTTATTTTATTTCGACTATAAAAAAATTAATATCCAATAAAAAAAATTGTAGTTATGACCTATGCTCTTTATCACATGCATATGTATTTTACAAATTATCACAAATTCAAGTTAGTAACTTTTATAAATTAAAGGCTGTTCTTGAATATAACATATGCATAACATCCTTTTTTGTTAAGAATAAAATAAAGGATTTTTTTCAAGAACAAGGACTCCTTAATTATGAATTAAAAGATAAAATCTTTTTTAATTCGGAAGTCAATCCATGGAAAAACTGGTTACGAAGTCATTCTCAATACAATTTACCTCAGATTGCATGGGCTAGATTAGTAACCCAAAAATAGAAAAAGAAAATAAACCAGGACTCTACCGTTCTAAATCGAAGTTTAACAAAAGCAGATTCATATGAAAAAAACAAATTTTATAATTACAAAAAACAAAATTTTTTTGAGACCAACTCATTGTTAAACCCAAAACATAATTTGAAAAAAGATTATATATATAATCTTTTTTGCTACAAATCTATTAATTCTACAGAAAAAAAATTTGACATGTATATAGGCATTGCTCTAGATAATTGTTTAGTCTCTTGTTTTCTAGAAAAATATAATATTAGGGGTATAGGGGAAATTCCGCATAGAAAATATTTGGATTGGAGAATTCTCAACTTTTGGTTTAGAAAAAAAGTCAATATTGAGCCCTGGGTTGATACCAAGAGTCAAAAAAAAATATATTAAGACTAACATTCAGAATTATCAAAGAATTGATAAAATAACTAATAAGGATCTTGCCAATCCAAAAAGTTTATTTTTTGATTGGATGGGAATAAATGAAGAAATACTAAATCGTCGTATAACAAATTTTGAATTATTTTTCTTTCCAGAACTTTTCTTATGTTCTAGTACATATAAAATGAAACCGTGGGTCATACCAATTAAATTACTTCTTTTCAATTTTAATGAAAACAAAATGTTAATAAAAAGACCACTTTAAATAAAAAAGGTTTGATACCAATAAACGAAAAAAAACCTTCTATTTTATAATCTAAATAAAGAAGAAAAAGACTCGGCAGGTCAAGGAGAGCTTGAATCAGATAAAGAAAAAAAAAATATTGAAGAAAATTATGAAGAATCGACGATAACAAAACGTAAAAATAAAAAACAATAGAAAAGCAATACCGAAGCGGAACTTGATTTATTTCTCACAAGGTATTCGCGTTTTCAATTGCGATGGAATTGTTTTTTTAATCAAAAAATTCTTAATAATGTAAAAGTATATTGTCTCTTGGTTAGACTAAAAAATCCAAACGAGATAGCGATATCTTCTATTGAAAGAGGAGAGATGAGGCCTAGATATTCTAATGATTGAAAATAATTTCACTTTTGAAAAATTAATGAAAAAGGGAATATTGATTATTGAACCTATCCGTTTATCTGTAAAAAATGATGGACAACTTATTATATATAGAACCATAGGTATTTCATTGGTTCATAAAAATAAACGCAAAATAAGTAAAAGATATAAAAAACAAAGCTATATTGATAAAAAAAATAATTATGATTTCTTTGTCCCTGAAAATATTCTATCCCCGAAACGACGCAGAGAATTTCGAATTCTAATTTGTTTCAACTTAAAAAAAAAAATGCGAGAGATAGAAATTCAAGATTTGATACGAATATTAAAAACTTGACCACAGTTTTGCATAAAAAAAAAGATCTTGATAATGATAAAAAGAACCTAATTAAATTAAAATCCTTTCTTTGGCCCAATTTTAGATTAGAAGATTTAGCTTGTATGAATCGCTATTGGTTTAATACTAGTAACAGAAATCATTTCAGTATGATAAGAATACATATGTATAAGCGATTTCAAATTCATTAATGATAGATCATTTTTACAATATATAATATATAAGTTACGGTATATGAAAACAATTATATGCACAAATTTGAGGAATTATTTTAAATTAAATCCTTTATACATGAGATTCATTTAATCAATGACATAAATACCAATCAGAGCAGCTTCATAAATAAATTAAAAGAATCCTCCTTTTTTAGATCTAAATTTAGACGTTTTTTTATAAAATTAAGAAGTTGATAATTAAATTCAGATCCTTGTACAAAAAAACTACCATTATTATTACTGATCAGTAAAATTCATATCTTTCAATTCATATTAAAAAATAAAAAAAAGGAAGGATTTCTTTTTATGATAAAAAATGCATTCATTTCATTTCAAGAAAAAAAAAAGAAGAAAGCAGGGGGTCTGTTGAATTTCAAGTATTAAGTTTCACTAATAAGATACAAAGACTTACTTCACATTTGGAATTGCACAGAAAAGATTATTTATCTCAGAGGGGTCTACGAAAAATTCTGGGAAAACGTCAACGACTGCTGGCTTATTTGTCAAAAAAAAATAGTGTACGTTATAAAGAATTAATTAATCAGTTGAATATTCGGGAATTAAAAACTCGTTAAATTCCAAAATTGTGAATTAGTTAATTTTTTAGATATTGAATTTTTTGATAAACTTCTTTTTCAGCAATCTAATTCATGCCAGAACGGATAAAGGAAAAACTTATGAAGAGACCAGTTACAGGAAAAGATCTTATGATAGTAAATATGGGACCTCACCACCCATCCATGCATGGTGTTCTTCGCCTAATTGTTACTCTAGATGGGACGATCTTGGATAAACAAAATTGTAAACCAACCTCTTGGACTGCTACGAAAAACACCATCGGATTTCAAAGTAGCACGATCTAATTCAAAAATCTCACCTAATTGAGCCCGTCTAGCATATTTTTTCACAGTTGCGGGATCACTATAACTCACTCCATTGAGTTCACCACCATAAAACTCAACAGTTACACCTACTTGTTCGACACTATATTTGGATTCTGCCCTTCTAAACGGGACGTCGGCTCTAACAATTCCGTCTCCGTCTACCAAAACAACCGGAAATGTTTCAAAAAAAGTGGGCATACGTCGTACAAAAAGCTCGCGCCCTTCTTTATTTCTAAAGACGGGGTGTCCTAACCATCCAACAGCTATTCCATCCCCATTGTCCATTGAACCCGCTCGGAATAACCCCCCTTTTGCTGGATTATTACCAATATAATCATAAAAAACTAATTTTTCGGGAATTTTAGACCAAGCTTCTGATACACTTTGATTTTCAGCTAGTCCAGCACTAACTCTTCGATATATTTCTTGTTGAAAGTATCCCTGATCCCATTGATAACGAGTAGGACCAAATAATTCGATGGGAGTAGTTGCAGAACCATACCACATAGTTCCAGCAACAACAAAAGCTGCAAAAAAGACAGCAGCAATACTACTAGAAAGGACGGTTTCAATATTTCCCATACGTAATCCTTTGTATAGACGTTGAGGCGGCCGAACACTAAGATGGAATAAGCCCGCTAATATACCCAACGTCCCTGCTGCAATATGATGAGAGGCTATTCCTCCCGGAACAAAAGGGTCAAAACCCTCCACGCCCCATGCCGGATTTACGGATTGGACTTTTCCGGTTAGTCCATAAGGGTCGGATACCCATATTCCAGGACCATATAATCCTGTTACATGAAATGCGCCAAAACCAAAGCAAGCCACTCCTGAAAGAAATAAATGAATTCCAAAAATCTTGGGCAAATCCAAAGAAGGTTTTCCTGTACGTTCATCACAAAAAATTTCTAGATCCCAATATACCCAATGCCAAATAGCTGCCAAGAAGCACAAGCCAGAAAACACGATATGTGCTGCGGCTACCCCTTCGTAACTCCAAAGACCCGGATTCGTTATAGTCCCTCCTGTAATATTCCAACCGCCCCATGAATTGGTTATTCCTAAACGAGTCATGAAAGGTATAACGAACATACCTTGTCTCCACATTGGATCAAGAACAGGGTCGGAGGGATCAAAAACAGCTAATTCATATAAAGCCATCGAGCCGGCCCAACCGGCAACCAGAGCAGTATGCATTATATGAACCGAAAGCAAACGACCGGGATCATTCAATACAACAGTATGAACACGATACCAAGGCAAACCCATGGAAATACCCCTTTATCAACGAAAAATAGACACTATGTAACTTTATTGCATTAGAAAAAACTATGTTACGGACCCCCCTTTTTTAGGTAATTATTTCGGAGAAAGGATTAATATTTGTTCGATTTTGTTAGTAATAATGGAACAATTCGATTCATAGGAAAAAAGGGAAGCAGATCTATTCTATATCCGATAAGTACCAATACGCAATGGGGGTTAATTCTATTTTATATGAACCAAGATAGCTATTGTTGTTCATCATTCAGAAGCCCGTTCGTAAAAAATTTCTTTTATTTTTATTCATTCTCTCTTACTTTACTTTTATTTTATATTTTATTTTAGCTTATTAAATATGATTAATTTAAATATGATTAATAAAGTAGGAAAAAAGGATAATATTATTACAAAAGGATAATATTATTAAACCTAATTCAATTATAGAGCTATGACACAATCAAATCCGAACGAACAAAATGTTGAATTAAATCGTACCAGTCTCTATTGGGGGTTATTACTAATTTTTGTACTTGCTGTTTTATTTTCGAATTATTTCTTCAATTAAGAAAAGAGCGTAGAATAATAAAATAAAAAAGAAAGAGTAGTAATTTTCTTATCCCATTCGGATGGATTATATATCATAATTATCTCTGACTGTTTATGTTTCTAGCATGACCACTCGATGAAATGTGGAGGGAAGCGAGATAAATGGCTGATACTACTGGAAGGATTCCTCTTTGGGTAATAGGTACTGTAGCTGGTATTCTTGTGATCGGTTTAATAGGTATTTTCTTTTATGGTTCATATTCAGGATTAGGTTCATCCCTGTAGAAATTGGATGAACTGAGTTATAGACGTGAAAACATAAGAACTCAATGGGGCCCAACTTTTCCTTCTTTGTCTGATTCGAGGGGGTCCCGTTGAACTGCGAATAATCAGAACAAATTTTTATCGTGTTTTTGAAAAGTGAACTTAATTAGATTAGTAGATTGAGAACATATAGTATTTATTAACCTTTCAAAGATAGAATAAAAAAGGGGAATCACTTAATTTCCTTTTCCTGCTTTCCCGGCTGACACAATATTTTTTATCAGCAGATTTATTATTCAAATTTTGTCTATACTAATAGTATTCAAATTTTGTCTATACTAATAGTACTTACTTTCTGATTTTTTTAGTATTTCATAAAAATTTAAATAAAAATAAATAAAAAAATCAGAAAGTAAGTACTATTAATTAATATATATATTAAAACGTTATATATATATAAACAGTAATAGATATGTAAACTAAGAATAGGAATTTTAACGAATGGAATCCAGACGTACAAGATCGACACAATAAAAGGAATTTTAGACATCCTTTTCTTGTGTCGAAGACTAGCAAGACAAATAATACTCCCTATAGCCCCAAAATTAGTTGTTTCGCCGATTTATGGTTCCCTTTTTTTTCTGCGCCTGCTTTCCTTATCTTATTTTAGTATCTAGTTTTAGTATCTAGTCAAATTTTTGCATTCTAATAGAAAAAATAGAAAAAACTCTTGATTATTAATACATTCTATCAATTTCAATTGGTCACTAACCACAGAGTTACATCCGACCCCTTATAAATTTTCAAATTTGTATTGAAAAATAAATAAAAGGGGGTTAAAGTGAATTCTTCTCAATATACATGGACTATGATACAAGTAATTCCTGACACCTGGTCGAAAAGTAATAGAAAATATAAAGAGAGGCAAAAGGCTTTTCATCATTTTTTTTGTTCTTTTTTACGAATTTGATAAAGCTAAATAGACAGATCTAAAAATTCATTTCGGATAATTGAACCTTCTCAAACTGTTTCTTTTTAAGAACCAAAAAGATTTGTGCCAAAACAACCGATCCTAAGAAAAACAAAAGGCCTTGAACACGTAATGGATCTTGAAGTACTATTTCCGCATCCCCCTGACCAAACCCACCCACATTAGGATTACTCGTTAATGGTTGATCGAGTTTAATGGATTCGCCCTCTGAAACAAGAAGTTCTAGGCCTCGAGGGATAATATCAATAACTTGGCGTTCATTCGATGCATCCGCTATGGTTATTTCGTATCCCCCTTTTTCTTTTCGTAAAATTTTGCTTATTATCCCTCCTGCCGTAGCATTATAAACTGTATTGTTACTTTTGCTACCATCAGGATAAATCTGACCTCTTCCCCTGTTTCCACCTACGTATATAGGATATTTTAAGAAGTGAACATCTTTATTAGTAGCAGGGTCTGGGGCAAGAATAGGAAAGGTTATTTCACTATATTTTTGACCAGGAACAGGACCTATCACAAGAATATTTTTTTTATTGGGGCGATAATTCTGAAAAGACAGATTTCCTATCTTTTCTTTCATCTCGGGTGAAATACGATCGGGGGGGGGGGGGGCTAATTCAAACCCCTCGGGTAAAATAAGAACAGCTCCCACATTCAAAGCTCCCTTTTTACCATTAGCTAGAACTTGTTTTAGTTGCATATCATAAGGAATTTTAACAACTGCTTCAAATACAGTATCGGGAAGTACCGCTTGTGGAACCTCAATATCCACAGGCTTACTAGCTAAATGGCAATTGGCACATACAATACGCCCGGTTGCCTCGCGTGGATTTTCATAATTCTGCTGGGCAAAAATCGGATATGCACTTGAAATGGATGCCCTAGTTATTATATATATCATGAGTGAGACAGATATGGAGCGAGTAATCTCTTCCCTTATCCAAGAAAAAGTATTTCTAGTTTGCATGGTCCAATCATTTATCCCGAAAATTTCTACAATAAAGTTAGGTAGGTCAATAATATACTTCCCTAGCCACAATTCTGCTATTTACATTTACTGAAAAAATAAATTTTTTTTTTTTTAAATATACAAGGAATCCCCACGTGGGTAAAAAGAGTAAAGTAAATACGACTTTGATTTGGTTATGATGTATAAGGTAAGAAATATTAGAATTGGATCAGTGAATCATTTTTTAGTCATTTATTGCATGATAAATCACTACAAGTGACGGAGATACACGATTTAAATAACGAAAGATCCAATATTTAAAAATTGTATCAAGAATGACTGGAAAGGTAGAAACTAGACCAGATAAAATTTGCTCATAATGAGCAAACCCAAAATCTTTGTAAATATAACCAATCATTAGTTCCCAACCGTGAGGCGAATGGAATCCGATACATAAATCAGTTAATAAAAGAATCAAAAATTTTTCGAGACCCCGTTATAAATTCTATCCATATAGATTCTGATCGCCAACTCATATATATTAGATCCAGTTATACAATTTTTTGTAATTGAGAAAATATGACTTTCCTTTTTTTGTTTTCAAAGTAACTCTCATCAACTATTTTGTTGTGAACCTTTACCTTAGGAGTAATTCATAGAATTGTTTATATCTAAAATAATAATATCTCCTTCCTTTATATGATCCCCTATAACTATATACATACAAATAAATACATTGACTTTAATTTCATACATCGGCCCGACGAGGATCCATTTTTCAAAAGAGCACAAATTTAGTTACCCAGATAATACGTTTACACATGCATAAGAGCTTTTTTTAGTTATGTTTGTAGGAATCTATGTATTATACAATATTCTACCAAATGGGTCTTATCGAATCGAAGTTTTTAAAATAAAAAAGGAGTGATACGATTCGGTATCATCCGATCTAAAAAATCTTATTTTTTTGAATATGAAGAAATAAAGAAGCCATTGCAAGTGCCGGAAAGACTAGGCCTACTAAAGGCACAAAAATAGAGGGTAAGTTATTGAAAGTTGTCATAAAATGGGTACCTCAATTTAATATTTGTACCTGTTATTGTTATATTCTTAATTCTAAAGATATCTTAGAATATCTTGTATTTTTATTATTTCTATTATATATATTAATATAATTATACTAAGTATCTTTAAGTAAATATATATCTAATACTAATATACCACCTAATAGAAATATTCTATAATAGAACCTAATAGAAATAGAATAAAAAGATAGGTACAAGAAACGCTAAACTAAATAAATAGACTTATTCATCTTTCAAAATCAAATAGATGTATCATAATCCCCTTGTTAGATTTATTATTCTTTTTGTTCTTTTTGTCTTCTAATAGTCATTAATAAAGAAAAAATTTTATTCCATTACAAATTTCTACAAAAGTGATTGGAATCGGATTCAACAACAGGGAATTTTTGGGAACTGCAAAAAGATGCAAGACTCTCTATAGATCTGT